TTTTCCAAAGCCCATAACTATGACCCAGTTCATCAGTTCAAACTGTCCTCACTGAGCACACGCACCTGTAACCTTGGCTGCTGTGCTCTCAGTGTTTTGTCTCCCTGTTCCTGCCTGTTGGCGTCAGCTGATAGAGGTGTTATGATTCTATCTTGTTATGCACAATGTTGATTATTCTCTCTGAACTAGCCAAATACATGGGTCTGGGGTAGTTCTTCAGAATTGACGTGGCAACTCTCCCGTGAAGTCAGATCCGTGACTGCTGTGACTTGTTGTGTGAATTCTCCGGCCGAAGCTCTTAATAAACCATCAGAGTTTGACATCTAAGCTCCAGCTCTCCCTGTGTCTCCTTCCTGAGTCTGTGACTCCCACTGCATTGCTACACAGAAGTTTTCCCCCACAATCCGTGTGTTAAGTATCTTCAATGCAGTTATTAGCTAATTCATATTATAAAATGACCTGTAAATACACCTTAACATAGAACTTTTAGGTGTACTTTTCTGGCTCTACATGAGCTGGACCCATTCATTTGGCTTACATTTTTTCTTTTAATAATTTATATGAATGATCTACAAATATAATAAAATAATGTTTTCTGGTTTGAATTGAAAGTTAATGTAAATTATAGACAACTTTTGAATTCTAATTACAATATATTCTGCTATAAAAATCCCTAAAATAAGTAAATTGATCAAAGTAGGTTCAGGTTTTAAGACAAGGGACCCATCCTGAGACACATTCTAAGAACAACACAGACAAATCTCTAATAAAAGTACACCCTGCTCCGTCACCTCTAAAAACATTTAAAAAACAGTAGTACAAACATGGGCATTGAAAGTTAATAAATACATAAATAGGCATCTGTGTGACACCGCTACGACTTATTCCTTTGTGCGATAGCTGCACACCGCTTTGTTTTACACTTTGGGATAACTAACATTCGGCCCGAAGGAAGAAGCTTAAATTCTGATTGCAGCGGGTGGGAGTCATCATTCAATAAAGAGCTGGGTAACCGCTGTAACTGCCTGAGGTACAGGGTCTCCAGGTTTAGCTGTGGCTCACCAATCAGTCTGCTAGACCACTTTATGATCCGAGGGCTCTTGAAAGGCAGTTTACTAACCATGACATTAAAAAGGACAGAATTTAATTAGGTAACACATGGGAGATTATTTATAGTTTAGTAAATTACTATATATTTCAGGTCCCTACACAAAACAAGCACAACTACTCAATCAGATGAGCAATTAGGTCAAACTTAATATAGAGTTCATTTTCGAAAAAATAAATCCAAACTCACATTGATAACGCAAGCATCTTTAGGTTTTCCATCTTGGTTCACAAGGCAGCCAACAGGGAAGCCCGGGTTGCAGTACTTCTGATCATCTTCAACTTCATAGCACCATGTCACCGGCATGTTGTCAATTATCCTGAAAAGAAAAATTGGCTTACTTCAACATTGTCTTAAGAAATACATTATTTGCCCGCTCGTGTTGGATTGTATTTCTGTTGTTATTCCTTTAACAAACAAAACCTCATGCTATTTGCATAACATTTCAATGCAGTATTATCTTTACAAACCAGTGGTGCTGGTAATTCAACTGCATTCCCATCTTGAGGAAATCCAGTTTGGTTGCATCCTCTTTGCTCCCCTTTTTGTAAGACTTGGTGCACAAACTCTTACATTTAACATCTTCTTGAAAGTTGACCTGTTAAGGCAAACAACAGTCATTCTTTTCAATTAAAAACATTAAAACAGATTTATGGAATGTAAAATAAGAAACAGTGTAAGAGAAGCAAGCTTAGATTTTTTGGTTGACACCCACCTTGTAGGGAGAAGACTCAATTCGTTCACCAAACAGCACCTGTCCTAGGTTCTCAGAAGGCCTCGTTTCAATTTCGTCTTTGCAAAAGTCGAACCTTTTAACATATAATGAGAATATATTAGTGACCTACAAAACATAGGTATATCAAGATATTGCACAGATGGAATGAAGTAAGGCAAGGCAAGTTTATTTACAGAGCACCTTTCCGCACAGGGCAACCCAAAGTGCTTTACAAAATAAGATAAAATACATTTAAGAACAATATACAGATGAAGCACATTATAAAAAGGCATTTTAAAAACAAGCATTTAAAAAGCAAATATAATAAAATCAACACAACAGGTATAAAATACATAGATAAAAAGCCATACTGCAGTTAAAATGTGTAAAAAGTAGAACGTTAACATTACTTACATATCATACTCGTAAGGCAGGACTGACTCTACTGAGTCAAGGCGATTGACAAACAGCTGAATCACTGTCTGTAGAAGAAACACACACAATTGTCCGTCAAAAAAAAGAAAAAAACATTGTTTCAAACGAGCCAAAAGTATATATGGTCTCCATTTTTGGTTTCAGTCATACAACAAATGTTAGTAATGAATCTGTCGTAACCAAATAATTGGTTAAACTGTGATATATCGTTATGATGGTTATTGAATTGTAAAAAAAAAACAATCCTGTCAGTGCATATAAAAAAACGATATATATGCATATATACACCTAAGAAAAATGTAAATACATATATACATACATATGATAAATGTAGTTCAAATCACACGGTTTAAAAACAGACAGGTAGTGAGATTTTGAGTGAGTTGATCTGATCACTTAATAAAGAAAGAAATTCAGCAATAAATATGTGTTGATGACAACTTGTAGGCCATTGCAATTAAAAGTTATTCAGTTCAGTATTAGATCAGTCTCTCAATTGATTTGCATAGATCCAACGGCCAACATGGTATTTGCCAGGTAACTTTAACACAGCAACGCCCAATACAAGAACAATTATGACTATGATCTATTATAATGTATTATTTCAATACGGGTTGTTGAAAGGGGAGTCCTTTTGAGGGTTTTATCACCATCTCATCTGCTACAACAGAGACACACACTGCACTCCTATGGTTTCTGAGTTTCTTGGTGGGCTGGTGAAACTCCCACACGTCAGTTAGTTTAAAAACATCCGTGGCAATGACAACGTGTGCCAGCAAAATCAATGTATAAACCCATTGGAATATTATGCTAATGCTCCGGTTCCAGGTAATAGCCGGGGCCTAAAGAGTGTTGGCTAGCTAGCAACTTAAGAAGATACCACATTGAAAAGAATATGCAAACTCTAACTGCTACAGACAATGCACTATATTAAATAAGAATTGTGAACATCATACATTCAATATAACGTTACCTGACAATCTTCACCGCCTTTGTCTTTTGCACAAAAACTCACTGGGGCTAAACCCGGAAGATAAAACGCCGAGCACGAATAGAAATACGAGACTAGCGAATAAACCAGCACAAAACCACAGTGTATCCGCCTCTTCATTTTACCACGGACACCTTGTATTCTAAGATTTGCTAAAACTTTTGTCCAAGAAGAGCTTATCCTTTTCTAAAGAAAGTGAATGTTTGCTAGCCGTACACTGTTAGTACGTCTTAGCACTCGGGACGCAGTAGCTGACCAGACTGACTCAAACAGCATTGATGACGAAACACCACAAGATCGGCTCCAGTTAAACGAGTTAAACGAGTTTCCCTTCAAAATAAATTCGTTTAATAAGTTATCTGTGTTGTACGTAACACATATACATTTATAGCTGGAGTTTACACTTTCATTACATCTTTGTAAGGTTCCTTTATATATGACTTTGAATTTAAACAATTATATGTGCAATATGAGCAACACATACATCACCAATTATTTTAAATTGAAAGGAAAAAAACCGGAAGTCACATTTTGTTCGCAGCAGTTTGACAGGCTTGACACCGTGGAAGTACTGACGTTGCTTATCGGTTCCTGCATCAACATCCTTGTTTTCTCACTACGAACAATCTTGTGCTTTATACTGCAAAAAGGTTTATGAAAGAATATATTAAACAAGAATTTGGAGGTAAACAAGAATTTGGAGGTAAACAAAGTTGGCGGTATGCACCTTTAAAGTGTTTTGCAATCCGCCAAAAACCGAGAGAAGAAGAAGAAGGTAAACAAAGTATAATGGGAAAGTTAAAGAAAGTTCAGGGTGTACTTACTTATATTTAATTCGGATTGTAGGCAAGTAGGCCTATCTATATGGGAGATTATTTAAAGACGACTGACCAGAAAATCCGGTACGGGCAGAGTATCCCGCAAGCAATACGACTCATATATTATATTGCAAACAGACATTTGCATTTACTCGAACGTACGATTACGAAAGGAAAATATTGCGCTTATCACTGTACTTACTTAACATTTTTTAATACAAACCCTTTAATAGCAACAGTGTACTTCTTGCACCAAATCAATCGAAGTCAATCAAAAATGTATAGCCCAACATCACAAATTGTACTTTTGTCTCAGGGGCCTTTACAGTTTATAAAGAACATGAATACGTCGCAAATTCCCGGTGGTGCTTTTACAATATTTTTTGAAGAGAGATGAGTCACCGTGTTTGTCTTTGCACTATGTAGGCTACAACTTGACACAAAGCTTCCAAATAAAAGTGGACTCAGAAAAGTGGGTCAGAGGAAGTGAAATAAAATATGACAGCGACTCAAAGATATTGTTAAAGACACGTCAGTGTTCCCCCTATATACAAATAGTGTTGGCGCAGCGCCGCTGCTGAAATATGAGCGCCGCTGCTAGGGGGCGCCAGCCAGGGTCCTTTTTTACTTTTTTTTTTTTCTTGAAATAATGATAAGTGGCGACCCTTTTTCATTTTTGATTGTTTGTTATGTGGATTTGTAGTATTTCTGTTACTGTATGTTCAATAAAGGTGTATTTTTGCTAAATCTTGAGACATTGCCACTGTATGTACTAGGCAGGGTCAATTTCTAGCATAGGCTAGGGCGCCAGATCTGGGGGGCGCTGCGCTGGTAGCTCTGGGAGGGAAAAAACATTTTTGACCGTTGGCGCTCATCCAAATGTTCGGCCTTGTTGTAACAACATTCATAATTAAGTATATGTAACACCCTTTTCACCCCGGTTACACGTTTAATTTGCCGAGAGAGCGAGCAAGGGAGAGGGCGCACCGATACCGGTGCTGTTGTTATTAGAATCTGGTGCTAGCTGCGCTAACGGATATAAGAAGTAGATGTTTCTACAACCAGGGTGGAGGAGAGCTCTCTTGTCAGACTGAGAGGCTCAGTGAGGAAAAGGACTGAGTGTTTAGATAGTTAATTTTAGTCTAAGTTATCTCAGTGGGTCTCAAACGTTTTGACCACAAATTATGTAAACACATATTTCCAAGGCACTCCTTTATAATTATTAGGATAAATAAAAACAGGTTTGAAATCATTCCAATGTATACTATAGGACAGTAAACCAAAAATATCGTTTAAAGTTGGAGAGTTACAAAAATATGCATAAATAAATAAATGTTAACTAGGTAAAATAAGATATGAATGAACAACAAAAATAAAATAAGCTACATTTATTTGTTATTGGCTATGGTAGGTTATTGGTTATGTTCATATACTTATTAGATTATTAAAATGCAAACCGATCTTTTTCATATGGGCGTTTTAGAGTTATGCCCCCTAGATCAGGTCTCTAGTAATTGTGTGCTCAAAGTGCACCAGATTGAAGCATTTTACTGTAAAATGTTCAAAAAAAAATCTTCCCGGGGGGACATAACCCCGGACCCCCCTAGAGGATGTGACGTCCACCCCCCAATTCAAACATGTTCATACAATACTGAATACATTTGAAGCCATTTTGACGTCTATTACCTATGTCAATAAGTTTCTGTTTTTGTAGTGTATTTGTCTTTTGTAGAGATTTTTCATTTATTCTTTACATATAAAATCTCACCTAGGGCAGCAAATTGTCTAGAACCGGATCTGGTACTATAGGCCTCAAGAGCCTTTCTTGTGCTGACACATAGAAACAAATTGGCGCACACACTAAAAAATTCCACGCGCTCCGCGCTCACATTATGCTGGGCCCACATGCCTTAGCACCGCTGCTATGACTCCATCCTGGGGGAAAGACTTCACGTGCACTTGAATTGTTTAGAGCAATTGAAAGTAGGCTACATTAATTTGTTAGAAATGTTGTCGTATTAACAGAATACAAGGCTACCAAGCAAAACAACATTGTGTGAAATACGCACAGACACAGACATTAATAAAAATAAATATAGAAATAATTTGAAGATATATAATGTGTTTTCTTTTTTATTCTCTTTGTTTTCTTGTGTTTATTTAGTGTTGCATTTATTTCCTCATTTATTTATTCATTTCTGTATTTATTTATTCTTTATTGTGTTTATTTATTTCTGTATTTATTTCCACATTCTTTTATTTCAGTTTTTTTCTCACATTAATTAATTAATTTGTAGGCTTCTGTTATGCTGATGTTGAATCTGGAGAAATTGTCCCCATCTCTTTTTCTAACAAAGTGATGCCGCGGTGTTCATATCTTCACAAAATCTATATTCCAAAACGTTGTCGTAAAAGCCACTGGTCGGATACACTTATTTAGCTGTGGGAGTTGTCAGATAATTAAAAAATATTTAGTTTGTAAAATGCTCAGGTGGAAGTAGTACTCAGAGATCTTAAGATTTGAAAAACAAAGTGTAGGAATTCTCTGTTTTAAGTAAAAGTCCGGAATTCAAAATGTTAGTCCAGTAAAAGTACAAAGTAATTATGCAGCTTATTTTAGAATAATATATAATTAATTAATGATTATTGAAGTATAAATGTGTCTATCAAGCTTGTAAAGGTGGATTCATCTTTGAATTATTATATTTACTGCAGCAGGGTAGCATGTACATTTAATCCAGGTGTAACTAAAGTCTTATTTAAGGGTTGATCATATTTTTTCAACATTAATCCATTATGTAGTGGAGTAAAAGTACACTATTTACCTCTGAATTCCTTGTGGAGTAGAAGTAAAGTCACAACAAATTGCGACGTTTCTCTTTCAAAAAAGTAAAAAAAATGAATTGCGTAATTATTTTTAATGGTTAATTTTTTTAACAGAAATGCTCAATAATTACTACTCCGTTCTGCCTGTAGGTGGCAGTGTTACTTCTTATGGCGTCTGCTCTGCCGGAAAACGTGAAGGAGAAGAAGAGTGAAGGAAAGAATAACGGCGAGGGCAAGCTTCTCTTTATACACTCTACACACCCATGGAAACAACCGTACCTACAGAGTACAGTCTGACAACACCTTGCTGCATGTTTTGTGATTAATTAACGTGTCTCCATGTTTTCAGCGTAGCGTATTTATATTTGAAAATCTCGACTCGACCGTTAGTAGCTTGCTAGCTAGCGTTTTCCAAGTAACTAGCTAAAACAGCTCGCACGTTCATCGCCATTTTGCGCATTCGACCGCTCAAGACTTTTGCAAACAACAAGGTAACTCCACCAGAAATATTCTGAAAGCGAGGATTTAGACGACGTGATATGCTTGTGTGTGTAAATGTTTGAATGACTAAGATTCCGCTTTTGTTTCAGGTGGTGTAGTTTGTAGCATGGCAGAGGCAGACCGACCAGGGAAGCTCTTCATCGGGGGACTGAACACCGAGACCACCGAGAAGGCCCTTGAGCAATACTTCAGCAAATATGGCAGGATTGTTGAAGGTATGTGCTGAACCACTGCTGGACATTTAATTATTTCTTACTTCTTTGCAAAAACATATTTAACGTGCATGCAATGCTTTAAGTCATTCTGAAATACTTGTTCACTTACCTGGCTATTGTAAAGACATTCAGTGTTTGCCTTTTCACACATTTCGTGTTTGTAAGTATAATCTTGCCGTTAGTTTCCCGAACTAGTTATGTTATATGTTATACATATGTGATTTTATTTGTATTTCTTTATATTAAAACACAAGTTGTTTTGTTTTCCTAAATGCTGTCCCCTTTTTCTAAACTTAATAAGACACCTATATTCTCAGTTTAGGACTTAGTGTACTTTTCAGTATGTTACAGATTCATGCAGCGGGAAATGCATGAATAGTAATAAACTTGAGATGAGTTTCAGTTACAGTTAGTACAATTTATGTTTTGTAATAAGAACCTCCTGTTGTCCAAGATGGACTGTTGTGTCTTCATCATACAATAATTGAATCAACTTAACCTATCAATCAAAAAACAAGCTCTCACTTTGAATCACCTCATTTCAGTTCTTTTGATGAAAGACCGGGAGACAAACAAATCCAGAGGCTTTGCTTTTGTTACTTTTGAGAGTCCGGGTGATGCAAAGGATGCAGCACGTGAGATGAATGGAAAGGTAATAACAAGTACAATTTTCAATCAGTCATGCTTTTCAACAAATCAGCTTGAAGTTGCGATTTTAATTGTATCTATTTTTTAACAGTCTCTTGATGGCAAGCCTATCAAAGTGGAACAAGCTACAAAGCCTCAATTTGAGAGTGCTGGCAGGCGAGGACCCCCCATGCAATCACGCAGTCGTGGTCCACCCAGGGGGCCCCGTGGTTCCAGGGGTGGTATGAGAAGTCCACCATCCAGAGGTAAATTCTTGATATGATCAGTTGAGTTTCAAACTAATTGAATGTGTGCTTGTTTTGAATGTTTTTTTGTTGTCTTTTGAGATTAGTGTGTTAATATCTATATTTCTTGTCTGTGCAAAGACTACTATGATAATTCAGGGAATGTAGAACCCTTCTTTAAAGGGATGTCATCCCGAGGCCCCCCGGCAATGAAAAGAGGACCCCCAATTCGTAACGGAGGTCCCCCAGCCAAGAGGTCTGCCCCATCTGGTCACATGAGCAGAAGTAAGTGCCTGCTCTGTGTAGTCTTCAAAAATATGTCTTTAACCAACAAGGTTTTTCACTTGTCTAGCTTTCACGCAATTACTCAGATGGCCTGTGGACATCTTATAATTTGTCAATACTTTGTATGTTGCAGCCCCCATGTCAAGAGACCGGGATCCCTATGGCCCAGCCCCTCCTCGCAGAGACTCCATGATGTCTAGGAGGGATGACTATCCATCACCAAGAGATGAACATTACAACTCCAAAGATAGGTGGGACATTAGGTTACATTATACAGTGATGTGTAGAAACAAAAATATTTATCCTGCTTGTTTCTGATATCTCTAAAAGGTTTCATTATACACGAACAAAAAAAAATAGGGCAGTTGTGAAGTAATAATTTAAAACGTGAGTAAAATATGATCCACATTCAATTTTATGCGACTTGAATCTCAATCTATAACATTTTTATTTTAAAAGAAAGTTGTCTTTAGATCTAAAAATATATAGATTGTTACGTTACTTTAGTCTTTTCTATACAACATAACTGTGAAGATCTTTGGCAAAAAAAACGAAAAATATTCTGCATATCAGGGTTTCAGATTTACAGTTATTTTTTTCTATGTTTCACCGCTACTCCAGTCGGGATTATAATTCGAGAGACTCAAGGGACTACGGACCTCCTCAAAGAGATGATTCATGCAGAGAATATTCCAACTCCAGTTCCCGAGACGACTATGGCTCAATGTCAAGAGGATACAGGTAAGACTTCTGGTTAATACAAAGGGTAAAAAAACTGAGGTTTTGAGGCTCACATTTTTTTTTAATAATAACAATTGTTTCTGTCATGTAGTGATCGCGATGGCTATGGGGGAGGCCGAGAACCCAGAAATTACATGGACCGTTCAAGTGGTGGCTCCTACAGAGATTCATATGATGGTTACGGTAAGACATGACTCCATGATTGTAATGACTACAGATACCTACTGTGGGACAAAGAAGAGCTGCACCAATAACCAACCAAATCAAACCATTGACTACCAGTCTCCAGTCACAAGCCCCTGCACTTTTTCCCCCTCACCAGAGAAAACCGAATTTCAGGCAGCCTCTTTAAACTTTTTTTCTTCCCCTTTGCCACAACCCTGACTTGCACTCCAAGTTGCGTATTTTCATGCTATTCAAAATATGACCATTGGCTTTTCAACAAAAAACTAAATTATATCTAAAGCATTAGTCCAAATATGACAGTCCATGTTACCACTGCATTCAACAAAGATTCAGTGTTTGTGGCAATGTCATGCAGAAATAACACTTTTAATGTGCCCCAGAGAGCGTCATACCGCAAGGAGTCCCAAAAAGTCCTTGGAAACAACCGTTGACCACTCCGTATGTGTTGCCTAGCAAAGCTCTCCCTCAAGGAGTAACGTTCAGAAAAAAACATCAAGACGACTCTGAAAACTTCGTCCCTCCGCAGTTCTAACACTTGGAGCTCTAAAAGGAAAAATGGCTTCTCAAATCAATGGCATGCTAGAAATGGGTAACACCGCCCATTTATTCCCAGTGCTTGGATATGTGAAAGGCCATATCGACTTAATGTCCATGATACATTTAAGATTGATTACATGATGGGGCATTTAAACATGTCCTCAATTAATTACACATTTTTAGATAATTCATCTAATCAGAAAAAGAAAAATAGCACTTCACAGTGCATGGAAATGTATAAGTTGAACCGTGCCAATTACCTGACCCATTGACCCTGCAGGTAACTCTCGCAGCGCCCCAACTTCACGGGGTCCCCCACCATCCTATGGTGGGAGCAGTGGAAGCAGTCGTTACGATGACTATGGCAGCAGTTCCCGAGATGGCTATGGCAGTCGTGACAGTTACCCCAGCAGTCGGAGTGAGCCATATCCACCTAGTCGTGGCGAGCGAATGGGCAGGCAGGAGAGGGGCCCAGCTCCCCCTGTTGAGAGAGGCTACCCTCCTCGTGATTCGTACAGCAGCTCAAGCCGTGGAGGGCCACGCGGTGGCCGCGGTGGCAATCGACCCGATAGAGGGATGGCTCGCAGCAGATACTGAACTGGACTTGGAAATCACATTAAAGCAAACGTTAGTCAACGTGCACAGTTACAAGTGTTTTGGAAGAAATCTAACAAGACAAACTAGCCATGTCTAAATATGTGGAAAGTGAGGCTTAGCTTTGACCTGTACCTTGAATTTCCAGTTTTTTTTATGTGTAAAAGTTTTTTGTTTTTTTTTAGTGTTTCTCTTGTACATGTAACAGTACAGTTACAAAGTTAGTGTTAGTTTTTGTACATCAGTGCTGTTGGAAACTGCAATGCCTTATCCGTCTGGCTTTCCTACTCTAATAAAGCTTTTAGTTGTACCTTGACCACTGCTCATCGATTTTTCAAATGAACAACCAGAGACCGTAACAAGAATGTTGAGTTAAAACATGATCTCCTTTGAAATATTCTCTGCAAGCATAGGTGAGTCTCTGCAAATGCTCTATAAATAGTCAAGTGACTTGAGTTCTTCTTAACACAAATGTGCCAACAACTGGACGCTACTGTTTTCAAGGGTTTGGCAAATGTTACTGTCAAAATGTTCCAATGTAATCTCCTTGGAAATGGATCCATCACCCTAGAGTCATTTGATGGCATGCAACGACAAAACCAAAGGCAACAACAACAACAACCAAATGCAACTCGACTGGTAGTCAACAGCTGGTAAGCAAAGCAAACCTCTTTGTTTCTCATCAGTAAATGAGTTTCTCATTGTCCTGTATTGCAATCTCCCCTCAAAGAGTGGTACCCAAGACAGCGTTTGCCTCGGGGAACAAAAGAAAAAAAAGTTCAACTGAATGAGCCTTTTTCGATGTAGCCCGGTTTCATCAGCTAACATTGTGAAAAGTGCAGCAACATCCCAAGAAGTTTCGTCCTTTTTCAGCAATGAACGTGTAACCGCCATTTTGAAAACTGAGCCCTTAAATGACCATTTTTGCCAAAGAAATCGTCCGACCTCAGTTAAATGATTGGCAACAGGTCATTTTTAAATCAAAAATAAAGATGTCTTAAGTACTTGTAAGAACTTTTTGGAAAAAGAACATTTTTAAATTTGAAAGAAAATGTCTCGGTTTCAAAACTTTAACAACAAGCATGCCATTTCAAACAACGGAGACCTCTGGAAGAACGCCATCGTCCCAACTGCCAAACTGGAAACAATTGCTGAAGCCAATTCGCAATCGGACAAAGGACTATATATTATAATTTTCAGATGCTTTTGAAATACAAGCTGAAGATAAGGGCAACGTGTTAATTGTGTGTTCTAATTGCAGGATGAACCCTCCTCCAAGGCAACTGCCCTTGCAACTATCCTGAATTGTGTCCTCAAGTTGTTGGACCAATAAACCAAAGTGCACCAGTGCGGGTATGTCTACTTGAAAAATGTATGTACTGCAAAGTATGCATACAATACGTTCTTGCTAAGTAAATCTACATCTCTTGCACTAAAAACGTTGTGAAACTCTACTTTTGAAATGTTGACAACGATTGAGTATTAATACTGATGTAAAATGAAACTGTTATGTAATGGGCTTTTCTCTTTTTTTGTATGTTTACTGCTTCTCAGCTGCTGGCACAGGCTTCCCTTGAGAGTGCTGGTGGAATCTTCAAGTGGAAATGTGCATTGAAAGTGGGACAAACAGAGGCGGAGGATTGGCTCGAATTTAAGTGTTTCTGCTGTTTTTAAATAAAGACTTTAAAAGGACCTTGTTGTTGTTCACTCGGTTTTGTAAATTTGTTCTGATTGTTTACAATAGTCAAATATATTTGTTAATGATACTGAGGTGTGTGGCATTTGTGATACTTGTAACTTGTTTTTAATTCTAGATTGATTGTAATTCCGATGCTTCTCTAAAAGTTGATAAACTGGCATTTAACATGGTCAGCTTTTATCTTCATTTAAATGTATTGGGACTTCCTATTTCCTGCTTCAAATTATTCATACATTGGTTATAGCAATAGTCACACAGCTTGTATTATCAGAAACTTCCACATGACTCAATTTGCATGTTGACCAACAAGGTTTTACTTAGTGAGGATGCTATGGCTTTCAACGGCAATTAAAACATAATTTTGACTATCTACATGTTGAGCCTAAGGATTGCATCACCTCATTCCTACAGTGTAAAATGGTACATTTTTGTTTTGCAAAAAATGCTGATGCATTTCAAATATCAATTCCCTGGAGGTATTTCCTAATCATTGCTGCATTTTAACTTGCAACATGATATTGGAGAAAGTGCCCTCTGCCAGCATGTGCTACTTTGCAGAGGAAAACGACTCCTGTCCTTTGTTGAGGTGCCTATTTGCCAGTAGGGGTGATCATCAGTTTTGCGTGTAGAAACAGCCTCGTCCTTCCCCCACCGCCTCTTTTTTTAACTTCTAGCAGAAGTGCGGATGTGAGTTGCATATTGATACGGAACAGGCCGCCACTTTATTTCTTTTATAGCAATGCGTGCCTAGGCAATGATCATTTCGTGGAGCTATGAATCCAGAGGAGCAGACCGTAACGTGGTTGATATCACTCGGAGTGCTCAGCTCGCCTAAAAAGAACATAGCGGACCCGGAGGAGTTTTTGAAAACCTCGCTGAAGGATGGGGTCGTCCTGTGCAAGCTCACGGAGAGACTTATACCTGGCTTTACTCCCAAGGTGAGTTGTTGATCTAAGTTTACTAAATCAACAAACGACAAATGATCGACGGCTGCTGGTGAAAGAAAGGGAGGGGTTTGATGAAAATGATACCGATATAAAACTTCTTCCTGCAGCAGGCCTTTCATTTCTGTAGCTCTCACTTCTTGAGCCGTGAAGTTTTAATAGTCGCCTGTGCGTTCAGTATGATGCCTCGTGAATCAAAATACAGCCGCATTTGTTTAGTTTTAAGATATGAGATTGCAATATGTGGTTTCCTGTGAAGCAAGCAAAAATGTTCCGCATTCTTGACATGAGTGAGTCGGTCTGAACACCCACCAAAACAGGACACATTATTCGGTAGGAAGAGTGCGTGAAACATTGGACACAGAGCCATATTGGAGACAGTGAGCTGGGGGTCATACAGGACACGGTTTTAAACAACTTTTTCGACATGATAAACCAACCATAATTACACGCTTAGTTGTTGAGATGACAAAGTTGATAATGACAAATAACAGTTGCAAAGACAGTTCGTCACTTCCTCCTGAAGGCTCTTCCCTTTACGACCTCCCCCTTTGAAAAAAGGCATCAATACAGCTGAAGCGGAGAATAAAACCGGAAGTAGTAACTTCTCTCTTTTCACATTTACTACCTCGCCTTTTGTTTGTTGCTGTTGACCTTGTTTGGTTGTCATACAATCCCCTATAAAAGAACAGTGTGATTTATACTTAATAAAAAGTCCAGATTGTTCCCTTCATTAAATATTTTAACGTTGCAATGCGGTCTTTAAACATAACTTTATTTTGAAAATTTGACAAGTGAGCGGATGTTTTCCCTAAATGTGTCTACTTTGACATTTCTATGGTGTAATGGTTTTGTATGCATGAAAAAGACCCAGAAAGAATCCACAGTTATTTTGTTAGTTCTGTATTTTTAACCGGATTTACTTAACTGTATAACTGTATGCGCTTTTATGTGAAATGAAAATGAAATATCACGTCGGTGTCAGGCTTGTGTCAGATGTGTGTCTGCCTTACTAAGCCGTAGTTTGTGTTTATATATTTATTTCGTCTGTGTGCTCAGTATTGCCAGGATCCGAGAACTGAAGCCGACTGCATTACCAACATCAAGGAGTTTTTAAGAGGATGCTCGTCTTTGAAAGTGGAGGTAAGTGTTAGTCAAGTTTAAGTGTATAAAAAATGCAATGTTACTTATGACACGGGCTGACCCCTCTTTCATGATCTCTTTACTCCTGAGCCCACTGCAGTTTATAGACAAGACTTAAACACACTCTTGCTTGTGTCGTGATCTGCTTAAACCCCGCTGGCATATGTTTTTCTCTCACATCCATGCTGTCAGTCACTCCCACTGACCAGACAGGAAGGGACCTGTCCTGTTGTTTTGAAATGGCCACAACTTAGTTTTCAACACTGTTTACTTCCTTTTTAAATTCCCTTTCTCTTTCATACTGCAGGGACATTTATATGTATTGCTTCAAATACTGGGTAATACACGGCATGGCTGTGTTGCTAAAGAGATGTTCTAATATTAGAAAGGGGCAAATCATTCACAGATGTTGGGAGTTTTCCCTGCCTCTGTACCCGCCTGTTTGTGAACGCCACACTGGACAGTAATGTGTCCTCTAGCTTTATAAATATTCCTTTCTGGTCTTGAGTCACCTCAGTTGGTTTCTTTAAACAGCTAATTGACTCAGCAAGCTGGCTCTCTGCAGAGTCAAGTGGTTTGGCACTCCTGCCCAGCTGGCTTGTTATGTCTGGGAGGTCCCCTTTGCTTTTATCCACCAACCCAGCCTTAGCCCATAATTAGACCTTTTGCGGCCCGCCAGTAGCTCATGGGCTGTCGTTTTTGGAGAGCCTCTGTCAAGTGGATCGGTCAGGGGATGTCTGTAGCGCAACGGCGAGCCATACCCTTCATTTTGGTCAGTGATGTGATCATGCTTGTATGTCACAATCAGCTGTCTTAGGAACATCCTAATCATCCTTGCACCCCCCCCCCCCGTTATGTTTTGTTTAGTTGTTTGTGTTACGTGTTTTGTCGTTTTTTCTTTTACCTGGAGCAATGTCTGTTTATTTTATAACTGAAAAAATATATATAGAAAAAAAAGTGATGTTACCATGCTTAGAGAACCTTTTTTTCCATAGCATATGGTGCCCGTTTGTCCTGTGACTGCACAAGGGGAGCAGTCATTCTGCTTTCACTTCTGCACTGAGATGCAGAAAGAGGAAGCGCCAATTACCGCTCAAATATTTTTAGCTGTGTTATTAACTGCATGAAATTATTTATTTGTTCTGGTTTTATACACTTACTATAGTAATTTAATTTAACATGACATGAATCATAGAAACTACTGGCGCTGGCAATGGTCAAGATGTCAAAACTGTTATTACTGATCAATACTTTGATGTAAGACCTATCTACTCCATTTTGTTTTATTATTGTGTATGGGGTTTTCCATTTTTTTTCTACTTTCAAAGAACAAGTACAAGATCATTTTGTACGACACTGTGTTCAACCCCCTTTTTAACACGATGAAAAGTGAGAAAAGTAAATCTTAGTAGTGATGTTGACCCTCAGGCCGATCCCACCTTACAGAGATCTAACAGTCACACTTTACCTCTAGATGAGGTTGTACGCAACTCATGACCAAGCCTGGACTGCTCAAACTCTACTGTATATTTAAGATGTTTTATTTAAAATGGGAAACCTTATCTGCTGGAGGAAAGAAGATAGCTGTTTGAGATCGAGTGATCAAGCAGTGTGGCTGTTTATGTGGCGAGCATCAGTGTGTGTGCACAAGTGCATAGCAAATTGCAAATGAGACCGGCACTGTCTGTTTTATTACAAACCAAACACTAAGTCACAAAATATGGGTCATGCTCAACATGTCGGATTTTATCTCTGTCTTGTTATAAGCTTATTCAAATCCCTGTGTTTCATTGTGTGTGTGTGGGGGTGTGGGTGTGTGCATGTGTGTGTATTGTTTGTTTTGCTGGATCCTCTCTGTGTCTGTGTAAATGTAAGCGTTACTGCTCGGATTTGTTTAGAACTTCGAAATTTAACTTGCTCTTCTTCATTTTCTCTGTTCCTTTCTTTCCAGGGGTTTGAACCAGAGTGCTTATACACTGGTGAGAACTTTGGCAAGGTGCTGACCACTTTGATGGCAGTCAACTTTGCCACACAAGGTAAGAGCTTTGCTGTCTGTCTGTACCTGGGTAAAAAAACATTTGAATTCTATAAAAGGTGGCACATTAGGCTAAATACTGCAGATAATGCTTCTTTGGTGTTCATCAGTGAAGCTTTACGTGTGTCTGTACTAGATGCAAATATTCGAATGAAATGCTTGAGTGGTTAAAAACTGAACAAGTATCGACATGTTAGCAGCAGTTGCCAGATTATTCTTTTTGATCCTCTACACATTTGTGCTATGATGGTGGTCATTTTCAAAGACGTTGTCCATGCAGCCCTTGTTAATCATGTTGAGTGTGTTTCCCATGGGCAGCTGGCATGGCAGTGTGTGTTTGGATCATGCTGAGTGCCATATTTACTCATGTAAACGCATCCAAAGCTTGATACACCATGAATTTGATCCTCTTTTGCTCATTTGATAGGTTTTGAATATGTTGATTAAACTCAAAATGCATAGTGACTTAATATCACTTTTAGACACACACATACACGTCCTTCTCAAGTGCATTTCTTCAATAAGGACACAGCTGAAAGTGTTTCACAGTGCAGCAGCCCCACAGCAATTTGTGGCTAATTACTTTGTTCGAGATTCCTCGTTTGAGGGCATTGGAGAGGTAATACCAGTCTGCCTGTAGTTTCCAGCTCACAGCTGCCACAAAAGCAGCAGCCTTACAATTATTAAGTCAGCAATTTTGGATAAATGTGCCCCTTCTGGATGCTCTCTGACAAATGCACAATGCTCCAATCTGTGTGTGTTATTCCTGTGTAAATGGCAGTGAAGATTGAGATTACAACTAATGATTATTTTCATTTTTTATCAATTAATTACTCTATAAAAGTCAGAGATTTTTTTAATTGATCTTCGCAATTTCCAAGACTCCAATTTGATTGTAATTCAAAATGCTTGTTTTATTTGACTAAAAGGTTTTTTAAAAAAAGGTATTCAATCTATATTGGTGTTCAGCACAAATGCACCCCATCTTCACCTTATCCTCACCTTATCCTCACTCTAGTAGCAGCAAATAATTGGCATGTTTGCTTGAGAAATGACTAAAATGATTAATTATCGTAATAGTATTTGGTCTTGTAATTAATCGGCTAAGTGTTTCAACACTACATGATATTACTCTCCTTTGGTGATGTGGCGCATATGCTATCACTACATGTACAGGAGGCATGCCACAGTGTGAAATGTAGACCACAAGCATCTGTCCGTACTCTCTTTTTGATATTCAAATCTTTGATATAGGCTGGCTATGCCCAGCAGCTGCTCTCTCATCTCTCAAAGTGAACTCGATTTAAAGTGGATTAGTCACAAGTTAGTTGATATGATCTAACAAAAGAGCCCCTCCATCTTTTAACTTGTGATTCTCTTCCAAGTCTGGCTTAGCTCCTGACTCAGTGTTTAGAATAAATGTTTGTTTTTAGGGTGATATGATCTTCAACATAGCCTGCACACAAAAATAACTTTGGTAACCTTAGAGCTGACAGAAGGGCTTGTTAGTCTTCTCTGTGTGTGTTGGGAGGGGCATGTGGATCCATGAGCCCCACCTGCTGTTCATGTGGACTCTCCCGCTGCCTTTAGTGTCCTTCTCATCAGTTCGGCCTCCCTGACATCTCAGCATATGGAAAGCAGTAGGGAATCTCCAGCCTTTACCTTACATAACATAGGTTACAGATGATCCCCTGATGAAACAAGATCACAAAAAAGTGTTATCGTAGCGCATTTCACTGTAAATGAAATGTCAGTTTTATAGGATCCGATTTGAACACCTCATTGGATCTGAATTAGAGGTGGCTAAGACTAATGGTGCACTCTTTTTATTTTATTTATTCTTCTTGGATATACAGTGAAGCTGGCATGCATCCAGTTTGCATTTAATAGGGAGTCCTCAGTGAGGGTGTTTCTGTTTGTTAGTGTAAGAGGTTGCAGGGTTGTCATGTGTCATTTTTCAAGTGAGTACCAGCTACAGAATTGATCCCTCTGTCAGCTCACCTCAAGGACTGCACTTACACTGCAGGACAGCTGGCAGCTCCTGGCACTAAATCACGGTTCCTCTGCTGCAGCGGCACAGTGATGACACTGTGGAGGGAATGAGTGTCGGTGTCATAAATGTGTTTGTTTTTTTCACCGAACTGCAGGGATAACAGACAGTGTTGGTGGGAAATGTAGCTAAATGTGTGTCAAGTAGCTATAGAAAGTATGAGTGATTACTGAAACATATTTATATTTTAGTCTAAAGACTGCATGCTGCATTCCTTCTTACAGCTGCTTTATCTAATGTGGTTGCAGTGTGCCAGCTTTGGTTAAATCAGATGATTCTATCAGGCATTGTTAATGTGTAGCGTGTGTTTTTTTGCTGGGGCTGTGCAGAGCAATGGACCATACTTGCATGAATTATCATGAAGTTGCCAGCCCCTTCAAGTATGTGTACCTGCGTCAACTGTGATAATGTTCTTTACCAGATAAGAACAAACCGTGTGTAAAAATCTGAATAAAATAGGTTCTGTATTTCCTCTGTCCGCAGACTGTGCTGCTGAGAGATGTTCGCAGTCCGGTGCCCACTCTCCTAGTCAGTCGGCATCTTCACACACACTCTCCTCTGCCAAAACCAAAGGCTCTCTGCGTAGACAATCCAAATCAGTGGTATGCTACTTCTTTATACACTACATATCGAATTTCTGTTTTTCTGTGTCGCTACTAATTTCACACATTTTGCTAATTTTGCAAACATTATGTTGAATGTATCAGTTAATTTATTTATTGTTAACCTCAAATGACTACACATTGCATTTCACTGCCCCATGACAAGCTAAAATATATAAAGAGAAGCCCAAATTATTTCTTAAAAAGCCTAATTTATAAGCTTAATGTGCAGTTTAAAAATATGGTGAATGTTTTTATTTATTTTACAATTCTTTATTTAGTTATATGTGCATCTTATACAATGTTCATGAACTTTATATAATAACAGAAGGGATGTTTCGTAACAGAGGCATACTTGACATAGTGAGGGACAATCCTGCAGGTGTAATAACAGTCAAACAAACAATAAATTAAAATATTTTGGTAATTAGACTAAGCACCCTTTTTCTTTTGGTGATAGAACTGGTTATCAGCTCATCGGTAGTTTGTTAATTCTATGAAATGTGGCCGTGTCTGGCGAATAAAGGGAAACCCAATCCTACCATAGCTCAGTAGGTGAATGTTTTTTTATAATGCACGCTGTGTATATAGAGCTAATACTGAGGATACATTTGTTTGTGTTGTTGACCGTCTCTCTATCAGGAGATGTCTGAGAACGGTGGAGGTGGGCAGCTGATGGTGAAGGCTCGCTTCAACTTCAAGCAGAACAATGAGGATGAGCTGTCCTTCAATAAAGGCGACTTGATCCATGTGATGCGGCAGGAGGAGGGGGGTTGGTGGGAGGGCTCCCTCAACACCAAGACGGGCTGGTTTCCCAGCAACTACGTCCGGGAGATCAAACCCTGCGGTGAGTCTGGCCACACAAACAAGATCATGAATTCCTGAGTATAATAGGGACTGTAAGTTTCATAAAGTTTCATTTAAAACTAAATAAAACTATTTGCGTTAGAGAATCGAGATAGAATGACAATGTCTTATCATCATCTGAAACTATTTTTCTTTCTTGAATTGGGTGTTTAAAATCTCCAACAGATTTTCTGAGAAGGTCATTATTTTCTGAATATTCTGTTAACATTTTTATTTTTCAAACATTCTGATATTTTGGTTGAAAAAGCTTTTAACAATTGTCCTATCCCTATCTATGTCCTCTACAGAGAAGCCTGTGTCTCCTAAAGGAACTCAGCTGACCAAGAACTACTACAGTGTGGTGAGTCAAAAATGATGCAGGGCATGGCTAATGTTTGATTCTTTTTGTCATACCACTTTAGAAATCAGAAATTAGTAAATGTAAAAATGTTTCTCATCTTAGCTGTCTATTTGGGTTTATCAAAATGTAGCGTTTTCTTGCTACTGCTTCTGTCCTGATGGAAAAAGAAGAAAACAATGATCTAACAGTAAATGAGTTAAGTTAAGGAGTTTATCAGCTCATACAACATAGGATCAGTGTGTCTGCTTGTCATTTAAGGTCTCTTCACTATGATCCGTTTTTCGGAAGTAATCTTGTTCTTAACTTCTAAAAATACAACAAGTAGCTTCTCCGTTTTGAAACCGCTCTCGTTCAGCAAAACTTCACTTCGTTTTTTCACATTTTGAGTGGACTAAACATAACCACAGTGATCAAATGTTGTTGACTAATAAATACACAATCATCTAGGTTATCGAGCAGTTTAACCTGAGATTTTAACTTGAAGGAAAAACTGTTTCCCTGGAATCTGTTTACGCAAAATATATTCAGATTTCTGTGCTGTTTTCCAGGTTGTACAAGACATCTTGGAACATGAGCGGGAGTTTGTCAAAGAACTACAAACAGTGCTGAGCTGTTATCTACGACCCCTGCAAGCCAGCGACAAGTAAGAGCATAAAACTTTGTGAAATAAGTGTTTAGATTTGAGTCAATATTCTTGAATTGACTGAAATTGTAATCAAAGATGATGATTACTGTACTTTCATGTTCATTGCATGTTGTAGGACAGTCCCTATAGTCTCCTCTTATGCTAAATATGTGTATATCCAGGCTGAGCAGTGCAGACAGCGCCACCCTGTGTGGAAACCTGGAGGAGATACTCACCTTCCAGCAGGGACTGTGTGCTGCTTTGGAGGACTGTACCAAGTAAGTCATGCTTTACACAGACCTCCATGAAATATGTGGTAGTTTGTTGAGTAAATTCAACATCTAATTTAACTTATATCAGAGGAGATCAATATTTGCACACCCCGTTGTGCTTGTATTGTAATCCATAATGAAATGCCTTTCAGAAGACTTTTCTAGTTTTCATTTATGTTTTATAGTCATGTTCTCCACTGCAAGCATACTATACATTACTGCCAAGTGTTCCGCAAAGCATATCATACTTCATTATATTTTCGCAATCACTTCCTTCCTCCCTGACATCTCTATTATAGTCACTTCTTCATGGTACAAATATAAACTTCAAAAACGTGTTTTTAAATAGCTAATCCATCCTTGTCCCTTTGCCTCATACATTATTCTTAATGTTTATTTCGCATTCATTCATTTGGTGCATTCAAGGTTCCTTATTTACGGTAGTCATACGAACATAGCTACAGTGTAGTTATGCCGATAAAAATCTTGTGTCACAGGCTTCTCCAACAGTGCAACACAAAACACAGATAAACAGAAAAATAGTAATACAAAAAGAAAATTAGTTTAAAAAAAAAAAGTGAAATTGTGCAATAAGAGTCTATATGCAAGTTTTTGAAATATGATAGGTAAATAGATAAATAATTTTAAAATATTTGTTTAAGTAGCAGCCAGATGAATATTAAGGATGATGTTTTAACTGTTCAGGTGTTTAACAGATGTTACACTGGTGTGGAAACTCTGACCAGCTACTTCAAACTAAGACAAATGTTTTCACTAGCTTTGAACGCCATTTGAAATGTCTGCCTTGGGGGAAAATACATTCATACGTAGAAGGTATGCTTTGGAAAATGGCCGCTAGGAATGTGAAGAATATACGATTGTTAGAATACAGTAAACTACATTATTTTAGGTTGAGACTTGGAATGTCTTCAATGTGTCTCAAATACAGTAGAGATGTTATGATTCTGTGGTGTTCTGTTGATTGGAAGTGAAATCAGGTGAGTGTTTAAGACCTGTATTCTGCCAGGTTTGAAAACTGCAAGCCCAGTCTTGTATTTGAACTGTCAGTAAAAACATCTGGATGAAGCCCTAAACAATTGCAGCTTTTGAGATATGTTCACTGCATGTTTTCCTCTTATCTCTTACCATATCTTTCTTTTACCCCAACTGTTTCTCTTTTAATTTGTAACCCCCCCTCTCACCTTGTTTCTGTGTTACTTTGCAGAGTCTCTGAAGGCCAGCAGCGAGTGGCGGGCTGCTATTTAAACCTGATGTCTCAGATCAAGACTCTCTATCTGGCTTATTGTTCCAGCCATCCTTCAGCTGTTTGCATCCTCACTGATCACAGGTCAGTCCTGCACACAACACAGCACAACACTGCCAAAATAAGTCTGATACCGACTGAGTCATATCGAGAATTTGGATGAACAGTGCAGAAGTAAAGTGTTACAGTCAGAAGAAAACTGTGGTAAATGGGACGTGTCAAGAAAACGTCATGTTTCAAATGTATGTGCACATGCATTTGGATATCCAAAATGATTACCAACCAACACACTGTGAAATGACACAGTTTTTGTGGTTTGCCTTTTTTAGAAAACTTTTAACAAGCCCCTCATATTTGGCTGCCCTCCCTACGTCCCATGTAGGCATATTAGAAATGACCACTCCCCGTCTGAGTATCTCCACTTGAATTTTGAGAAATATTGTGGCCATTTGTTCACAAGACAAATAAAGCAGACTGTGGCCAGAAGAGACATGTGCTAAAACAGATCGTGGATAAATGTATATTTTCAGATTATCCAAAATAATGTTTTACCTTTTTTAAAGCCCTTAATGTGCTATTCGGGACCCAAATAAGAGTATGAACCCAAAACGTAGCATAATATAGATGCTTTAAATCAGTAAGCATAACTTTAAGGTTTTGATATAGACCAGCAGGGGTCACAAGATGAATGAAAGGAGTCATGACATTATTTTCTGGGTAGGAAATTAAAGAAAAATTAACTGTTTAAAACAAATGTAGTAGTTTTATTCCTATGTGTCCAAAAAAGTATTCATATAAGGGATAATAATTAAGAAGGGATAGTACATGTTTCACTGAACCTTTCTTAAGGCATACACCCTGTAATGTGCAATGAGGTGAAAGGCAAACATGTGGAAACCATCAGTATGACCAACCAAATGCCCAAGACTTGCTTATCTTATCCTTTTTCACCCTACTTTTGAGGCAAGTCTGCATGTGTCTCGGTAGTCGTGTCCTTTTGTGAACTACTGCATGTTGTTACCTGTCGATGAGCTGCAGTTTAGCAATACACCGCACGGTGTCAGGCTTCCCTTCTGTAAACGTCTAAGAGGCTAAACTAAGTCTGATCGTTACTGTGAGATCTTCATATGCATTTTTCCCATTAAGTAAGACCTATTGGTATGGAAATCTATTGCATTGATCAGTCACTGTGAAATGGCAGACTAAAGAATTTAAATGATTGAATCTTGGCTTATGTAGAAGTGGTGTTTCATATTATACGCTGTGAACTGCACATTAAATTGAATAACACACAGGAAGCAGACCGTTGACAGGATACATAGAAATGTGGTTTTGTTGACAGGCAACCGAGACACTTTTTCACAGTAAGCAGATTTTCATCTCACTTGCAAAAGCCTCTTTTGTGACCTTTACATTTACTCAAAGTTACCTGTTAGTGTTAGTGGGTATCGTGTCAGTCTTAGTTTATAGAAACTCATGAATGGTGTTACTTTCAAGTCATGTTTTCAGTTTGGCTGCAAAGATTCAAAGGAGAAAAATAAAAACTATGACCTCATTTGCTCTGCCTTTAACACCATTACAGTCGGTTGTGGTCCATTCTAACACGCACCCCAGATGTGACAAACTGTGTGTTTTTCATCATTGCGTTACAAATAAATGGAAACCTTTAGCGGTTACATAAGTGTTGCCCACTTTCCTGTCCTCATTAGAAAGTGTGATGTTTTTAATTGCCTTCTCAGAGAACGTTTTATAATGCAGGTATTGTATAGTTTAAGTGCGTCTCGATGCATTTATGTTTATTTTTGCCCCTGTATGTAAATGCATCTTCGTTGGGGAGGCACACATCATGGACTGTGGAAACACATTTCCATTTGTGCACATTAAACTCAAGCTCCATCTTTTTTTCCACTTAACCTACACAGTCTGCATAATCTATAAGAAATTATTCTCTTGCAGTAATAGCAACATTTTATTAGATGGTAAAACCTTTATGTATCATACATTTTATATTAATATAAAGCCTAAATGTAACGCTATGGAATTAGCACCAAAGAAAATCTCAATCTTTATTTTTATTTATTTATATATATATTATTAAAATGTTGTTTTGTATTTGATTTTATGGTCTTTCAAGTTCTCATCATCAGAAATTGGCATCTTTGTAATGTTTTTTAACCTGTTTAGTCAGTTATTCTAAATCTTACAATCTAAAAACCTTAACTGTGCATTACAAGTGTTTTCTTTGTTCAACAGCGAGGAACTAGACAAGTTCATGGAGAGCCAGGGAGCCAGCGCTCCGGGGATCCTGGCTCTGACCACCAGCCTCAGTAAGCCCTTCATGAGGCTCGACAAATACCCCACGCTGCTGCAGGAGCTGGAGAGACATGTGGAGGTACAGGAGAAAATAAACATAGTATATATACAGTATATTTCTGACAATGTAAACTTATCTCTTTTGATCTCTGAATTTCTTGGTATATTACAGAATATTGAGGCTGCCATGTTTGCTGATGTTTTGTTTGGTTCCTCCACAGGAAGCTCACCCAGACTATGCTGACATTGTGAAGGCAACAGCAACATGCAGGAGCTTAGTGGTAAGTGTGGGACGTCCCGGGATTCTACATGCTCAAATGATATAGATAATATATAGTAATCCATATCGTTTTTCTACAAAAGCAGGCTTAAAGTTAAACAACCTATGATTGTTACATCATCCGCCATGAAGGCTACTGGGTATAGCTACTGCAAAAAACTTGCTCTTTGGTAACTGGCAATAGCTTCAAATAGCTACCATGAAAAACAAAAGCACTACCCTCTTCAGTTTTGGTCGTGTAATGTTTGACGCACTTACTTTGTTGCATACATTTTGACTTTATTTTCCTGGGAGATTGAACTCGGGGCCAGTTGTTGCAAATTAAAACAAAACTAGGAGAAACAAACTAAACAAAGATGATGTCATTATTTTCATAATTATAATTAAAAGCTTTTCAAAGGTATGCTATTACGTTTGTACTTTTGTGTTATTAACTGACTAAAACACTTAAATTAAATCAGTCTTGTGTTGGTTATTGTGAAGTTGTTATGACTTCACCTCTGTCAGACGGGCTACACACTAATGACATGGTAACGTTCCAAAGCACTTCAAAATAAATCAAGCACAGGTTGGCAGAGAGGCAAACAATTATGGAAGTTTGTGCTGCATGTTGAGTGATGTTCCTACAGTGGGTGTAAACTGAAATGCCATTTTAGACGGGATGGATTAGAAGCGAGTTACCGCATTGTGCCTCAGTGAAGATCACTCTGAGACAGTTTCCTCGGTAAAGCTCTGAGTTCCTAGTAAGAATAGATGATGTGACTCACACATGTCTGTTCAGCAGAGCTGCACAGCAATGCGGGAAAAAAATCATCACACAACAGTGAATGTTGCAATTTGCAAGTCTCATCTCTTTCTGTGTGGTTGGGTAGGCAGGCGTTTAAGGAAAGCTAGTTACAACCTCTGTAGTGCACAGAACATCATTCTTGTGTGCTGTGGAAAACGAAAGCAGCTGCATTGTCATTTTTCCTGTTTGAACAGGGAGCGCCCCTGCCTAGCACCTGAAATTGTTCTACGTTATGTTGCAGGTTACTCCATATACTTCTGGAAAATACGTAAATAAGAAATCTGAGTAAAGTTACATTTTCTAAAGCAGGAAAAAAAACCCTGGTGCACATTACTCAATGTTTCTAAAAATCAGGAAACCACCTTTTCGTTATGTGAGTTTATGTAATATAATTTGGATTTAAATCCAGAAATCAGGAAAAGATTTGAATAGCAGCTTTGCCTTGATGTGACTTATTTGGTTTTCAAATCTATCCAAAGTGACCCTTTATGTCTCATGGTAAATTATGAATTATGTAACACAATGTTTGTTGATGTGTAATATATATTTGTATTTTTGTCTGCCTGTGTGTCTGTGTGTTTAGACACAATGCCAGGAATTGCGAAAGCGTAGGAACCTGGAGCTCCAGATCTTGTCAGAGCCGGTGCGGGGCTGGGAGGGAGACAGCATGAAGAGCCTCGGTCACGTGGCCTACATGTCCCAGGTCCACGTCAAAAATGGGTCCAGTGAGGTGAGATACTTCGGCTTTGATGCAGCACGAGGACTGAAAGAAGTTGGAATCAATTGTCCCTTTTTGATCTATTTGTTAGAATTTGTATGGTGAAAGCTTCAGATTGGTTCCATTCAGTGAAAGAAGATAAAAGCACAACATGTGAAATGCTCTAGATTTGTTGGACCCATGCCAAGTCTCACGATTACTAGTAACCAGAAGTGTGTCAATCATTTAACTTAAGCTATGTGCGTTATAGGGTTCCCAATGTTAAGGAATCGTGTAGGCAAAAATCAATTGTCCATTTTTTGGAAATATCCCGCTGGTGTCAAAACAGAAACCTATGTAGGCCATAAGCATTCTGAAAACCATCTCTTCTTTCTTGTGTGGTTTCTGAGCAGGGGTTTACTTTGAAATGGTGGTTGGAAGAAAAGCCTTAGATAGACCTCTGAGTACCCTATCTTTTAATCGCTGCCAACCACTTTCCAACCACCATATTATATTAAGCCTTCTCGGGAGCTCATCTAATTTTCCATCTGTATTAAAAACAACAGACCAGCCAAATTGTATTAAGTATATGTATTAAGGATTAATCAAAAAATAATTACACAAACTTGAACTACTCACTTAATTTATGCTTTACAGATTAGCAAAGTGGTTCAAACTCAGTATTCTGAGAAAATGTAGGATGTGAATGAATTGTCACATAATCTCTATTGATAATCTATTAAACATCCGCAGACAATGCAACACTTTTAATTGTTGTTTCATAATCTATAAACTGTTGCAATGTTACAAAAAACGAGCAGGATCAGCTAAAGCCAACTTCCTTTAACTGTTTAAATGTATTTGTTCCGACATTACAACTACATTGTTTTCTCTCTTTCTCGCAGGAAAAAGAGGAGCGCTATCTAATGCTTTTCCCTAACATGCTAGTCATGCTTTCCGCCAGTCCCCGGATGAGTGGCTTTATTTATCAGGTGAGGACTGTCCCCTAAATCAATCATTCATGACCTTTTTTGTTATCTTTATACATTTGTATTTATTGGGCACACAATTTTAGTACTTTCAGGAGTCTCTTATCTACAATATCTTTGCCTTTATTTCAACTTTCCTTTTGTTTGTCCCCTTCAGGGAAGACTTCCGCTGACCGGCACCACAGTCACAAGACAAGCAGAGGATGCAGACAACGCCCACTATGCCTTGGACATCACAGGTTTGCATCTGAGTTATCCAACATAATGATGACTAATCTTCTTTTAGTTTAGTCGAAGATGTAGCAGTCACTCAGAATACAGAATCCTAGAGAAAGCCTCATTGAACAGCCGCAGGATTGTGTATTCAAAACTCTTAAAGTATGAACAAATGTCACTCCAGCCCAGGGAACTAATTAATATGAGATTACTCTAAACATAAAAAGTCACCCCCTTTTCCCTGTGAAATATACATGCCGGTGTCAAATACAAATATATCAGAATCGCCCTACTGTTGCAGTTGGTAGTTGCAACACACGTGAATATGGATAAAACATTTGATTCAGATAATCCCTTGATTTGCACAGTAAGAAATTCCCTCATGATATACCAAAACATATTGCTTCGCCATATCTATTCGTTTATGGCATCTTTGTTAAGAGGTTTGACATACATTTTGTGTTTAATCATGTATACTTATTGCCACAGTGCATGAATGACTATTTCTTGCAGAGATATTTAAAGTAGACCTAGATCTTCTATGATGCCTGCATTTCCTCAATAGGGGTTTCTACTTGTGGTTGTGTGTTGACTTCTGTGCAGCCATAGGTAGCTTTCACTAAAGTGTGTGTGTGTGTGTGTGTGTGTGTGTGTGTGTGTGTGTGTGTGTGTGTGTGTGTGTGTGTGTGTGTGTGTGTGTGTGTGTT